AAGTTATGCCGATAAGCGTCGATCAGACCTGGAGTTCCAGGTCGGGGATATGGTTCTCCTGAAAGTGTCGCCTTGGAAAGGCGTCATTCGATTCAGGAAGCGGGGCAAGTTGGGCCCAAGGTACATTGGACCGTTCAGGGTCGTAGCCCGGGTGGGCAAGGTGGCGTACAGGCTGGATCTGCCAGCCGAACTCAGTCAGATCCACAACACTTTCCACGTCTCCCAGCTGCGGAAGTGCCTGGTGGACGACTCAGCAGTGGTACCCTTGGAGGACATTCAGGTTGATGACAGCCTGAATTACATCGAGCGGCCTGTAGCGATCCTTGACCGGAAGTCGAAGGATCTGAGGAACAAAAGAGTGGAACTCGTGAAGGTGCAATGGCAGCACCGGAAGGGGTCGGAGTGGACTTGGGAGCCGATGGACGAGATGATGGAGCATTACCCCGAGCTGTTTCAGGAACGAGTAGCAGACTTCGAGGACGAAGTCTAAAATAAGTGGGGGAGATTTTTAGCACCTGGTTCTTGGTACATATATTCTTTTTAGTAGTTCTTTAAATATTTTGCATTTTTGGCCTTGGACTCGGCGATTTTGAAGGACCAACTCGCCGAGTAGAAGCGAGAGGGGACGCGAGACTTAAGCGATGGACTCGGCGAGTAGACCCTGTCTGGACAAAAACCCTAATCCGAGGGTTTGCACCCTATTTAAACACTTTAACTCGGCCTCCTTCGTCCCATTTGCTCCCAGAAGACCCCCATAGCAAACCCTATCCGTTATTGAAGTAATCTAAGGCATTTGGAGTGACTTTGGTGCTTTTGTGATCCAAGGAGGGAAGGAAAAGCTTGAAGGAACAAGAGGAGGCTAAAGGGATCCGAGTTTGTGCACCATTTTCAGCTCATTGAAGGTAAAAAGTCTGTACCTTGCTCTTCCATTTGATAGATCCCATTTTGTGAAATTTTAGAGCTTTTCTAAGCCATTTTGGTCACCAACCATGATTGCAAGCATGGTTAGGGGTTGAAGTTTCAGATCTAGGTCCTTGGAGGGGTTACAAGGCAGAAAGGAGTGGCTTTTGGCACTCAAGGAAGGCCTCATGCATTGTAGGAGCCATTTTAGGGCCTTTAGGCTCAAAAGTCCCATGCATGCACGTAAAGTTCGTAACTTTATGTGCTAGAACGGTCCTAGGAGCCTAGATCTACCGTTTGGGCAAGTGTTGTACACCAGAAATCGAGAAAATGAGACTTGGACATACTCGACTCGGCGAGTCGTTCTTGGGACTCGACGAGTCCGAGGCTTGACTCCCTTTTCTGTTTTGGGTCAAGGACCCAGTTGACTGTGGAAAGGTTTCAGGGAGGTCCCGGGGAGTGACCCAACGTTCTGGACTAAGCCATGGTTCTGGAATTCATGGGACTCGGCGAGTGCATGAACAGACTCGGCGAGTCCAAGGCAATCTTCTTAAGATTGAAGATGAACTCGACGAGTTGTTCATACAACTCGGCGAGTCAAGGACAGGACCTGTTCATCAGTTGAAGATGAACTCGACGAGTTGTTCATACAACTCGGCGAGTCGGATGAAGATTCAGTAGATGTTCAATTAGAAGGAAAACTCGTCGAGTCATCGCCTAACTCGACGAGTAGAGACGAGTATAAGGTCAAATAGAAGGATAGGGACTCGGCGAGTTGGCGAACCAACTCGGCGAGTCAGGTCAACTGGAAGTTGACTTTGACTTGGTCAGGGGTAAAATGGTCATTTTACCCTAAAAGCAGTTGGCAGTGTATGACTAAGTGTTTTGTGGGAATTATAGCCGGAGGATTTCCGGAGCAGCAGCAGTAGCAGTCAGAGGATTTTCCCGCACAGATCAGCAGCTACTACGAGGTGAGTTACGTTCTAGTAGCGGTGGGTCTACGGCCATAATGCCGGCCCACCAGTAGGAGTTGTATGTTAGGTGATTGTCTTTGTGATATCATCTGGTTTTGCTACTACCTGATATGTTATATGCTGGCATGGTATGTTATAAGTGATAGTAGTAGAGTTCGGTTGTTAGGACCGAAGGGTAGATCAGACACCCCAGATATGTCTGACAGCATGTGATGATATGTTTATATGTTGGCATGCTATGTTATATGTGATAGTGGTAGTAGGAGGGGAATAGCCCCAAGTTCGGTTGTTAGGACCAACGGGTAGGTCAGCACCCCAGAATGGCTTGACATGGGTAGGTCAGCACCCCAGAATGGCTTGACACGGGTAGGTCGGCACCCCAGAATGGCCCGTATCGAGTAGGTCGGGCACCCCAGAATTGCCCGGCAGTATGTATGCTATGTATTTGTATGGTATGTGGTACAATGGGGGAACTCACTATGCTTCGTGCTTACAGTTACAGTTTTGTTTTCAGGTACCTCTTCATCGAAGGGGAAGGAGTTGGCGCGGTAGCGGCACATCATACACGCACAATGTTTTCCGTACCATGAGTTATTCTGGGATTTTGTACTCTGACATTATGGTTGTTTTTTTATGTTTTGGTTTTCAGACACGAAATATGTTTATGAAATGATATGATCAAACGATGTTTATTCACAAATGTTTTCCAAAGTATTGATTTAAAAATGAAATTTTTGGACGTGAAATTTGGATGTTTCACAGTGGCTCTTAGTCATCGAGGGATTACCATCCCAACCACAATGTGCGGTGCTTGTAATATGGATGAGGAGATGTGTGATCACGTTTTGATTTCATGCCCGATGGCGATGGAGATCATGGGATCGATACTTAACTGGTGTGAAATTAGTGGTGAGAAATTTTCCTCGGTTAAGGATATGCTTCTCTTTATTTCAAGATGGTCCGGTGATAAGAGGAAACAAAGCTTGTTGAATATGATATTATATGGAGCGTTATGGTGCATATGGGTTGGAAGAAATAAACGGATTTTTTAGAACATCCAGATGAGACCGGCGATGATAGTTGAAAGGATAAAAGTTCTATCTTTTATCTGGAGCAAACATAGAACTTAGTTAGAAAGATAGACCGGAGAGTATGGAATGTTTGTCCATTTCATTGTTTGTAATTTTCTGATTTTGAACTGTTGTTTTGTACTCTTTATGCCACATCAGCTTGTTGTGGTTTATTTTTATATATTTGCCGTTTAAAAAAAATAGACTTACCAAACAATCCAGTACCTTATAATTATTACGATATTGCATTATTTTTTTCTCCAACATGTTCCTTATTTATAGCGAGTTTCAATTAATATTATTACCATATTTTAATAGTGATGCACGCATTTGTTAATCTATTACAAAGTCGTTGATTTCATGAAATTGACTTTTTATACCATTGTTTTTGTTAAGCTACCGAGTATAACCATATCAATAAAAATAAAATTGATTAGTGTCAAATTTTAAAAATAAAATCATATATATAAATATGTAAAGTATTAAATATAATATATATGAAATTAAATTGCAATGAATATATTACTTCCTTTCTTATTTTAGAGTTTTACATTAAAAAATATTTACTGCTTACACTTTAATATTTATTTTTTTTAAAATTAATCCGTATAATATACGAGTCTCACACCTAGTATATATATATATATATATATATATATATATATATATATATATATATATATATATATATATCATTCCTAATAAATAAAGATCTTTTTGTCACATGTCACATTCTCATTTATTTTGCCACATGTAATTTTGTGGTTATTTTAAATAATTTTTATTCTGCATGTTATTTTATTGTTTTTTTCATTTTATTAAATTGTAGATTGTATTTATATTCAATAATAAATGCATATCAATTTCATTAATGAACTTTCCTGTAAATTTCAAAATTATCAAATTAAAGATTCATTAATTTTCTTTATTTATTTATCTAAATTATTTGTTTAAATTTAAAGGAAAAAAAAACACTTTAATTTATAATTAAATATTTTCTCACTTTTCTTACAAAATTCATATTTTTCAAATGTTTAGAATTTTGTATTGTTTTTTTTAAAATAAACTCATATAATACATGGGTCTCAAACCTAGTATATATATATATATATATATATATATATAATTATATATATATATATATATATATATATATATATATATATATATATATATATATATATATATATGGAGTTGAATATAGGTGTTTACATGTATAGTTATTTGGCCATGTTTGGCAAACTGTAGATCTAATCTCGCTCCATATCCGCAAGTCAACTGGACCGACTATTTACAACCACACCCTACAACCTTTTCTCAACATTCCATGCTCCCCTGGTAGTTTCTGCGATTTTTTTTGGAAGACATAAATAACTTAGGGGGGTTGAAAATGTAGAATTGTTGTCTGAATATTGTCTATATCCCTAATGATTCCTTAGGTATTTAACACACAAGTGATGAAGATATTTGAATGGGGAACTAAAATATTATGATACTTTTTCAATAGTTGAGACTCGTGTGAAATTCACATAATTTAATTAAAATGTGATAAAATGATATAAATATGTTTGTAATCATGAGAGTATACATGTGTGTAACGATAAACCAACAACATAACTTGATTATATGTTTCATCTTTACACATTAAATATATAGCCTAGAACAGTTCACGAGCTAGACAAACAACATATTAACCGACTTATTTATTCACATCCAAGTAAACTACTCCAAAGGGTCTAGCTAGCTTTATTCTTAATAAAAGTCTCTTGCGGTTCAAAAGAAAATACTACTTTGAAGGGTACATTGTGGAAGTGTGGTTTAGTTTGGGGACTGAAACTATACAAGCATATATATTATTATTTATAAAATCAACCCTACCATGTTGCTTACATGTTGTGCACTGTACATAGTTGCCAAGGCATCTTTTATTGATCACTCTCAATTCAGTAGTTGACTTTGAATTTTCCTTTATTAGACTTTTTAGAACTCTCCCGACGGTTTATATATATATATTTATCAAATTCCATGCTGTAGGTGTCAAACCCTTTCATCTACAATGGAGATGCAGAGATCAAACCTTGATTCAGAGATAGAGTTTCCTCAAGATTTCAGATGCCCCATTTCCAGAGATCTCATGAAAGAACCAGTCATCATCTCGACCGGTGTTACATACGAGCGAAAGAACATTGAAAAATGGTTCTTTACCTACAAAAAGAAGACTTGTCCAGCCACAATGCAAGGCATTGAAAACTTCGGTGTTACCCCTAATCATACCCTCAAAAGACTCATTCTTGTATGGCAAAATAGTCATTCTCCATCTTCCTCTTCATCGTGTTCTCCCTGTTCATCTTCATCGTCACCTTTGCCATCGTTCAAGCGAGATGAAATGGTGTCATTGCTCAAGACCCTCGGCTCCAGTCCATTCAAGGTAAATTCTTTAAGAAAACTTAAAGAAATTATGGAAATAGGAGATGATATGAGGCTTGATTTCGTAATATTAGGAGGGTTGGATGTGCTTTTTCCATTAATTGTTCAAATATTAGTCGATTGCTCGGATTTCATGACGTTTAGAGCTTGTGAGGAGGCTTTGGGTGTTTTTCAACTTCTCCTCATATCGGAAGAAGATGATGGGAAAGTGATTGAACTATTGTCTAAACCCGAATGCATGAAGTCAATGGCTATTATTCTTCAAAGAGGAAGTAAAGATGCTAGGGTTTACACGATATCAATATTTAAAAAGCTAGCAGAAAACTCAAATTTCAACTGGAATGTTATTGTAAACGATCAAGGTATTAGTATGTTCAAATCCATATTGGAGCTTGCATCGGATGAGATTTCAACAAAGGCAAGTTCATCTGCTTTGCAAGTCTTGATAAAGATCTTAGATTCATCAAAGAAAAGCCGATCAAAAGCCATAGAAGCTGGTGCCATGTGTACCCTAATAGAGCTCCTACCAGACTCTAATCGATCCAAGTGTGAGAAAATATTGCAAATAATCAAACTATTGTGTGAATGCGCGGATGGAAGGGTGGCATTCATTGAACACCGTCTTGGCATTGGTGCAATATCAAAGAAACTGTTCAATATATCGGAGATGGCTTCAAAGATTTGCGTGAAGATCTTCTCGTTGATATGCAGTTTTCATCCAACTGAGAAGGTTTTGGAGGAGATGATGATCTATGGAGCAGTGAAGAAGCTCGTGGTGATGTTGCATATGAGCGGACCATCGGCGACCAGAAACAAAGTGTTGGATATGCTCAAAAAGCACGGTAGCTTTTGGAGTCGATACCCTTGTTTTCCTGGAGAATTGAAGGAATATTTGGGTTTAGATAATCGTCGTTAGACAACCAGCTGACTTATTTTTTTGTTCTTCATTTATTGAAACATCCAATCACGATACATATAATTAATATCTATTTGTCCATATATATACTACATGCTTGTCTTTTAATGCTAAGGGGTGAAATTAGTGACTAGTTTATTATTTTATTATTTAATATTTAATTTGTTCCTTTTAATAATTAGGGTTTGAAACCACTTTGGTTTTTGTTATTGTATGATTTTGTCTTTTAAAGTTAAGTCGGTGATTATATGTAATATGAGAATAATACATATATACAAATGGGGATTTTCATTTGACAATCTCATAAGTGTTGAGAACGTGACAATGCATACCACAAAGTGCTTACTGATTTTAATATGTGATTTATACACAGTGACGAATCTAGGATTCAAACTCACGTGTGTCTAATTTAAATGATAAACTAAATTATAGTAGTTAAAAATTTTTGGTTATCAGGCCGGATTATCAATAATATGATTTAATGTGAGTGTAATGTAATAGTAACTTCAAACCCCAAAGATCAAATATAATTTAATAAATAATAATAAATTTATTACATTGTTCATGAAAAATTCTTATATACATACTAAAACAATCCATAAGTATATATTTGCTAATAAGTAAATATTGAAGTGTCATTTATAACATATATAACTATTCTAAACTTTTTTATTCTTATTAAATTAAATAAATTACTAAATTTTAGCCATATCCGGTTCTAGTCTTTTTTCCCCCTTAATGCCCTAGGCATTTGCAAAATTAGAACATGTGAATATTATATCATATGCAATCGATCATATACCTGAAGCATATGGGACAAGATTCATAATGTCTTACATAAAGACATGATACTTGACCAGTTTTTTGCTATAATATTTCCATATATAGAATTTCCAATGTTGAAATATTTCAACATGGTATTCATATATATCCATGACTAAGTTTGATTAATACTTCAATCTAAACTTTTATATTCGAAATAAAGTATAAGTATTCTCTCCCTTATTATAGCGAAACAACTTTTCAAATTTTGCAATTTTGTAACCTTTGTTTCCTATAACTAGTATTTCTAACTTGCAACACTTCACATAATAATCATGCTCCCACTATCATGATAATTATATTCTTACTAGCATAACACTTATGCTCCCACTAGCTTTGACATGTATTCAGAAATCAGCTACAATTCTAGAAATCAATACTTATTGACTCTCTTACCAAAGTTCAGATTTCCGATGCAAGATGATTCGATAAGCCTTTATCTAAGCTCATACACCTTTTATTAGAAAGCTCATATGTGTGTTTAAACTACTTAGAACAATAAGTTCCGAATGTCCAAACTATTTGCCATTTCTTATAATTCGAACTATGAAGAGGGATGTTGTAATCATAATCGAATTTGAGAATGCAATTAACACAACTGCTATCTTCTCAAAATCTACTTAGTGAATGTGTTTCCTCACAATCATTTTCATGAATTGGAGAGAAACCTTATGTCACATAGATTTTATGGTGTATGTGTTCCTATCCATGTGAAACTGTCATTTCCAACCATTATCATTAGATAAGGTCTATGGCAGATTCAAACTCATATGGACTGAACTTGTTCAATCTTAATTTCTTGCCACTTGGCAGCACAAGGGTCTACCATGTCTTTCAAGTTGTTTAGAGATCACCCTTACTGATCAATGAACTTTCACTGATCAAGGTGTTTTACCTTATGCAAACAATTGAGAACTCATAGAACTCACATGCATAGTCAACTTTAACTGGAATGGCACAGAAACAAGAATATGTCAACACGATAGGTTACAAACCTCAAGTCGTGTGCTAGTGATAAACGATAGGTTTATTCTTGATTAGTTCTTAAACATTTCAAGATCTTTTAAGACTCCCAATGACTTCTTGACATATAAGATTCTCTTGTCAAGAATCATTCCTTGACAAACAAATATTCAAGAGTTAGTGCGGATTCTTATCAAGACAACACTTCATACAATTGGTCTTAGTTGGTCTTTGTCCTATCCAAGACATCACAACTACCATTTACAAATGTATTATAAACCTACTTAAGATATGTCACTCAAGGAACAATATTGGATTATGACTCTAAGACTTGATTTTGGAACGAAGTATGATTTGACTTAATTGATTTAACCATTTCAACAATTCCTGATTCCTCATCTTAGCCATACAAGTGCACTAAGGTGTCCTTAGAGGATCAATTGTGATATGGTTTTCATAATCATTAAGATGATCATAAAACACGATATTAAGTACTCTCCTTTCCTTTCAGATTAGAGAAACTTTTTATCTTTCTGCCTAATTTGATTCTTCTTATTCGTTCTGCTATACATTGAAACTTTTCAATGATTCAGAATTATACTTAATCTTGTAAGCATAATCATATTCACTAAGCTTTGTGGTGGACCCGACCAGTGCACAACAATGTGTACTTGATCCCCTAGTCCTTCACTTGACTCATATCTTTATGTGAACAATGAATTAGTCTTAATTTTCCAAAGATGAAGGTTCTCATTCATCATACAATACAAGTTGCATGATTCCAAGTTTCTTTCCAATTGAAACTTGGTGATGAGAATCTTTCCTTATTTGGTAAATTTAGACACTACCACAAACGAAAGAATCAAATCCATATTGCTAAAAATAAAAACATACAAACATCAATTTTCACAAATGCCATTGCAAGGAAATATAAAATAAGATAAAATCAAAAATTTTCTTTATTTATCAAATGCGGAAAACTTGTCCTTACAATGCAAATACATATGAAAACTATGTTGCTACATATTTCTAAGAAATCTATCATAACTCCTAAGTAGCAGCTCACGATTCTGATCATCGAATCATGCGATCGAAATCCATTTCTTCGCGATCAAACTCGGCCTGTTCTTTCTTTAAGCTTCCTTTCTCTTCTTCGATCCTACAAAACATCAAAATGTAATTACATTACATCATGTATTAAGAATCTCTAAACAGGAACCTAATAGAGTTAGATAGTGGACTTACCTGAAGCAAAGTCATACACTCTGACTTTACCATCCTTATGATCCTTCAGGTAGATACGGCAGCTCCGCATCCAATGCCCCTTTTCTTGGCAGTAGAAACACACAGACTCTTTCAGAATGGAACACGGGACAATCTCATACTTAGCCTTTCTCTTTACCATTTGGTCAAACAGCTTCACCATGGCCGATTCCTTTCCATTGGGAAGAGAAGAATTTTCTGGACTTCTAATGTTTCCATTGTCAATGTACATGGAAGTTCGGGAGATTGATCTTCCAGACAAATTTTCTTGACCAGTGTGTCAAATCATTGTTGATTCAGCAGCAATTAGCAAATAGGTAAGATCAATAAGGGTCACGTCGTGATCTGTCATATAGTAGTCTTTAACCAACTGACCAAACGACTCGGGAAGTGAATGAACCAAGTCAACAACCAACTTTCTTCGGAAAACGACACCCAACATTCCCAGCCTGTCAATATGCAACTTTATCTCCAAGATGTGAGCACATACAGACTTTCCATCTTCGTGTTTGTTTGCCAATAGGGCTTGAGTGACCTTGAACTTTTCAAGTCGACGAACATGTGGGTCAGGGAGAATTATTAGAGGAGGTGGAGGAAGTGAAGTATGATTTCTGGGAACATCATCTTCATGAGGAAAGCTTTTTCCAAAAGATTCGGGAAGACCATAGTTGTCAGAACTAGACATCTACAAGGGAGAAATTCAAGTTTAGTTGATTTAAGTCCTTAATATAACACCCAAATGAAATATTAAGGCTAGGACCCGACACAATAATTTACAATTCGGAAGAGGGATGTCGTAATCCAATTGCAAACTATTTGTCGGTAGCTAAATGACGATTTACCAATTCCACCACGAAAACGAAATTTTAAACGAACTAAGTTTTAAATGAAATTCCTAGATCTTTTGAGATTCATTGAACTTTTCAATGGCATGTTTAATCTCGATTATGCCCTTCAAGTTTGTGACTGGGATACCGAGGATCACAAAAACAATGTGTGAATAACCATGCAAATTAGCTTGGTACTCTCGAAGTCAATTATCACATAATCAATGTGTCGTTTAACCACACACGCTCCATTGATCTATGATAAACATCGAGCTACCCTTTGCCACCCTTACTAGTCCAAGTTAGTGTGTCGGTTAACCACACACGCTCCACTAACGACTTGGCAAGGTGCAAAGTGCAATTTCATGGTTTAGCATCAAATTCACATTTTTCCTAAGTAACTAAGATTGAGAATTTATAAAAATGTTTAGTTACTTAATATTTCATCATACTTTTAATGAGGATTTAAATGTCCTGTCAAACCCGTTCGGCTAACGACCCTCCACTAGTCAAGAGTGCGGTGAGTAAGAGTGGATACCCATTCAATCGCCATTTTATAGGCAATTTCCTTAAACACCCCTTATAGACAAGCTTCGTGAATGAGGCCTACTAACGGTAAAACTGACCTTTTACTTATACATATATAATATATTAAACTTTTAATGTTATATAGTATAAGGGTGTATTTTACACATTTAAAATACTTGGTGGTTTAATCTATTAATAAATTATACTCTTAATTTAATTAACTTTGAACCATATGATTATGGATTTATTAATTCTCTTTTAATTAAACACTTTAATCAATTTAATAAAGTCCATAAGGTGTAATTGAAGTATTCAAAACATCAAGGTTATAAAAATTCAAAATTAAAAACTATTTAATTAATTTTTAAGTTATGAACCCAAGAGTTGCACCTTTTTGAAACCTTTCAATTACTAGATGTTTTAGAATTCAATATTTCAAATTAAAACTTTTTAATTAACCTTTTCAAATTCAAAAACTCTTGAATTCCAAACTTGATGGCAAGTTTTGTAACTCCTTAAAAAAACTTTTGAGTTTCAAAACTTGATGGCAAGTTTTATAACTCTCTTTAGTCATAAAAAGAGACTTTCCAAGTTCCA